AGTCCTAGAATCTATGAATCTATGAATTAGTGCTGGGTGGGCTCCACTGCCTGCCCCACCCAGGGGCTTCTGGGAGCACGGCGGCTGGGCTGCTGGAGGAGGGATTGGTCCCAATGGCCTGTCCAGGCCTCACCCTGGGTACAATCCCACTGACAATGGGTGAAGCGCTCGCCCCATCTGGTGGCTTGAGGGAAGTCTGTGTCCCTGTGACAGGGAGCCCCCACCGCTGTAGCATGGAGCTGACCGGGCTCATCTCTTCTCCTCATGCTGGCCTGGCAGTGCCCCAGTGGCTCTTCCTGATCCTTCACTGTCCCATGGCGGGGCTGTGCAAGTCTCCCCGTCTGGGCACTTGCTTCCAGCTGTGTGGCATGTCAGTAGGTTGGGGCCAGTGGAAGGGGTGTGGGGGGATAGCTGCTGGGTGGGTGGGGCCTAAGGGGTGTGGGCATGGCCACCTCTAGTTATAGGTGTGTTGGATGGGGTCTGGGGGGTATGGCTGGGGCCAGGTGGGTGGCGTCATCTTGGGGGGGGAAATGGGAGGGTGGGACCTGGGCCTATGGGTGGGCCCAGCTTGGTGCTGCTTGGAATAGGTCTGTGTAGCAAGGGGTGGCTGGAGCTCATGTTGGGGGGCTGGAGCTTGGTACCCTCCATCTAACCACAGCCCCTTTCTGTTTTCCCCCCCTGCAGGAAGAGTTCCAGGGCTTCCCTCCCGATGAGCCTGTCTCGCAGAGTTCCTTGCGCGCTGCCCTGCGCTCCCAGAGAGGTGAGGGCACCGGCCGGCCTGACCCCATGCGGATGTCCCCTCGATCTGGCACCGGGGAGGTGTCAGCACTGGTGTCCCATGTCCTCAGCCTCCTGTCACATCTCCTGTGCCATGCTTCTTCACAGGGCCCTTGGGGTTCCCTAGCCCCCTTGGCTGGCACCACTGCAAAGGGCCTGGCTGTCTCTGGCTGCAACGGGGCTGCTGCTTGGACACTACCTCTGACCCACAGGGGTCAGCCTCGCAGCACAAGGCCTTGCATGAACACCGATCTTGTGCATTATAACAGTGTCTCTTGGGCTCCCCCTACCTACCGCCATAGGGTGGGTCCAGTTACACCAGCCATAGCTCATGCCTGCAGGGGACAGGGAATTGCTTCTCTTCTGCCTGAAACTGCTTGGCCACACCAGCTTCCTGCAGTGCCCAGGGCGCCTGGTCAGGGCGAGGGCCCCTCCTGGGGACGCAGTGCTGGCTCCAGCCAGTGAACGTGGGATTCACTTTGTCCAGTGCCCACAGCTCCTCGGCTTTCCGGCTCTGTGTTCGCAGCACATTTCCATCGTGGAAGGGGAGGGAGAGATGTGTAGTGGGGGGTGGCTGGGAGGAGGGCTGCTGGACACGCTGGGGCTCTGCCGCTGACTCCTGGTGTCACCCTGAGCAGCTCACTGCTTCTCCCTGGGCCTCAGTTTTCCCATCTGTGGAATGGGGATAATCCACCTCTGGCTGTTCAGACTGTGAGCTCTTTAGGCAGGGCCTGTCTCTCGCTGTGTCTGTGCAGCACCTGGCACAATGGGGCCCTGGTCTCAGTGGGCAGGGCCTGTCTCTGTGTGTCTGGGCAGCGGCCGGCATGCTGAAAGAACCTCGCTCTAACTGCTATGGGGGTGTCTGTGCAGTGCCTGGCACAGTGAGGGGATCTCATCTCAGTTGGGGTGCCCTGGTACGAATGGGGTCCAGTCTCTCTACTGCAGGGCACACAGTGCCACCCCCAGTGGTAAGCCAGGTCTTGGTTGGGGTGATGGCTGCTGTCCCTCCAGGGTTAAGCCAGGCCTTGTGGTGATGGCTGCTGTCACCCCCCAGCATTGGGGGCCTGGGATGGAGTTGCCACATGTTAACCACCCTTGCTAGCTGACTGGCTGGGTGTACGGTGGTGCATGGGTGGGATCCCGAGTCCCAAACCCCCTGGTTCACCCCCCTCCCATTTCTCGTTGCAGGCGTGTCGCCCCAAGCCAGTGGCAGGAAGAAGAGGGACGTGTCCCTGCTTGCAGCCCCCTCCAAGGCACCGGCCAAGCCAAGGAAGGGCGAGGCCCAGCGGGAGCGCATGGTCAAGGCCCTGGCCGAGCTGCTCCAGAGATCTAGGCCCCCACTGGCCAGGCCCCCTCTGGGCGCCAACCCCACCCAAGCCACCAGGACGCCTCCCGAGCAGGACCCAGGGCCCTCTGAGGCCATGCCCCCTTCCCCATCCTCCAGCAGCCCCTCAAGGGGGCAGAGCCACGACCCCATGGTGCCCCACCGGCCACGGGGCCGCCCCCGCGGCTCCTTCAAGAAGAAGCCGGGAGCCCCTCAGCGGGGTGCCAAGGCTCCCGGCACTGCCCCAGCGCCCCCCAGAAAGAGCCGGGGGCTGGCCTCAGGTGCCAGCCCGAGCTCCCGGAGGAAGGGCCCTGGGCGTGGGCGGAAGAAATTGCCCTTGCTGCTCAAGTTTGTCTCCAAAGCAAAACGGCTGAAGTCGGGGCGGGTGGCGTTGGCCCGTGCCGGGCTAAAGCCCCCCGTGGGCAGGAAGAGGGGCAGCAAGAGGAGGAAGAGCAGCCCACCAAGGAGGAGGGATGTTTTGCCGGGGGACTCCCCCACTCCCCCTGCCCCCCCTCCAGAGCAGCTGCCGCATGAGGCACCAGCCGAGCCGGCCTCTCCGACCCAAGCCCGGTGGAAGCGGCGGAGACGGGCACGGCGGCCAGCCCGGCGCGAGGTCGCTGTGGAGGAGAGGCCGGCATCGCCCCTGTGTCCGGCCCAGGCAGAGGAGGAGTCAGCTGCCCCGGCCTCCATCGCCCAGTCCACACGGGCACAGTGTCTGAAACGGGGGCGGGGCCGGCCGCCCCTCACCCCCAGTCAGCGGGCCGAGCGGGTGGCAGCTGCCCAGCGGGAGGGGGCTGGCACGGTGGGTGAGGAGCCCCCTGGGCACAAAGCCACCTTCCTGAAGAACATCCGCCAGTTCATCATGCCCGTGGTGAGCGCCCGCTCCTGCCGCCTCATCCGTCCGCCCCGGCGCTTTATGGATGAGCCCCCCCCGACGAGCCCCCCGGGCCAAGGCCCCTGAAATGGGGGGGGCCACCCCGTGGGGAGCCCCCGGTCCCACAGCAAGCCCCTGGCCAGGAGGTGGGACCTGGCCAGCCCCCCCGCTCGCCTGACGAATACCCCTCCCCCCTCTCGTCACCCCCTCCTTCCCCTGGCCTTTCGCCCCCAGCTTCCCCTCTTCCCACCCTCCTTGGCAAGCGGCGCTCTATCCTGCGGGAGCCCACCTTCCGCTGGACCTCCCTCAGCACCTCGCCACCTCTGCCCCCCGAGGCGGGCAAGTCCCTCTTCCGGCTGCCCCCTGAGGAGCCCCACCTCTTCCCGCCTGGCCCCCTCCTTGCCCCTTCCCCGCCGGCCAGGCGGCCCCCACTGCTCCGGGCCCCTCAGTTCACCCCCAGCGAGGCCCACCTGAAGATCTACGAGTCGCTGACAGTGTCGGCTGAGGAGCAGGAGCCCGTGTGCCTCAGCGAGGCTGGGAAGGACCCCCCACTGTCCCCTGTGCCCCGGCCAGAGCCCCCCTCTCCCCACTACGAGCCCGTGATGACCCGCAGTGGCAAGCGGCTGCTGGGCCGAACCAACCACCTGACCCTGCCCCTCTTTGGGGAGTCCCCCCAGCACCTGCCTGGCCCCCCGGACACGGAGCTGATCAAGATGGAGGACGTGGATGTGCCAGGCGTGGTGCGTAAGGTGGCCATCCGCCGCGTGGCCTCGCTGGCGAGCCATGAGTCCGAGGAGGAGGAGGGTTCTGGGTGCGAGGCCGAGGAGCAGGTTGCTGCGGCGCCCACCCGGGAGGAGGCAGCGCCGGCTGCACAGCCGGCCCAGCTGTCTGGCATGGACAAAGTTTACAGTCTGCTGACTCGTGCCAAGGTGCAGCTCTTCAAAATCGACCAGCAGCAGCTGCTCAGATTGGCCCCGGTGAGACCGAGACCCCCGTTCGGGGAGGGGGGGGGGGCGGCACTGGATCTCTGGGTGACTGGGGGGGGGGGGGGAATGCATATGCTGACCTGTCAGCCTGCCTTAATAACAGTGCTTCCCGTGGGGCCGAGCGGTGGGGTTGGGAGTCAGGCCTCCTGGGTTCTCTCCCCAGCTCTGGGAGGGGAGTGGGGTCAAGCAGTTAGAGCAGGGGCGCTGGGAGCCAGGACTCCTGGTTTCTTTTTCGAGTGCTTGCTCATGTCTATTCCAGTATGGGTGTGCATGTGTCACATGCACGGTCACTGTAAGGCTTTTTCCCCCCTAATCGCTAGTAGTATCCGTTGGGTCGACTCTGGTGCCCCCTGGAGTGGTGCCTCCATGGCGCAGTCGATAGGCACCTGCTGTCTCCTCAGTTGCTTCTTTCTGTCTAGAACAGTCTTCTCTTGCCCAGCAATAGATCCCCTCATGGTGGTCTTCCTGTAAATAGATTGTAGATAAGTGTAAATAGTTCATTAGCATAAGTATAGTGCTAATATATGTTCCATTCTATATGCATCCGAAGAAGTGGGCTGTAGCCCACGAAAGCTTATGCTCTAATAAATTTGTTAGTCTCTAAGGTGCCACAAGTACTCCTGGTCTTCTTTTTGCGGATACAGACTAACACGGCTGCTACTCTGAAAGAAGGAGAGAGGCGAGGGCAGCAGGGGGCCAAAGAGGCAAAGAAGTTGGACCTCCTGGGGAGGAAAATCTACTCCACAGGGGGCCTCCCGCTTAGGGTCGCGAACCACCAGGCTCCGTTTAGCTCACGATTTTATTTCCTGGTCAGCGGTGCAGAAATTTAGAGAGCTCTTGCCCTCTGACTCTAGGGCTATGTCTACACGACACAGCTTTTAGTAACGTGGCTGTGTTGCTACAGCCATGCCGCTAAAAGTTGGGCTGTGGAGCCGCTGTTTGTCAGCTATCCTGCTGACAAAAAACTTCCACCCCCAATGAGCAGCGAGTGCGTTGTCGGCAGGAGAGCGCTTCTGCCGACAGTGTGCTGTTCACACTGGCACTAAACTTTTCTTTCTTTCTTTTTTTTTTTAACAGCTCTGAAAGACAGAAGTTTTGTCGTTCAATTGCCAGTGTATATAGCCTAGGGCAGAATTTGCTGCCATGACTGAAGAGGGCAGGGCCATAGCCAAGGCATCCCTCTAGCTGGCCCTAGACGCAGACGCAGCGGCCTGGGTGATGGCTACTGAAGTTCTTGGCTTCAGTCATCAGGCCTCCCCCATGAATCCAGTCCTTATTTTCAGAACAAACTGATTCCCAGCTGCACAGCCTGAAAGATTCAAGGGTGACCATAAAAAGCAACAGAGGGTCCTGTGGCACCTTTAAGACTAACAAGTGTTGGGAGCATAAGCTTTCGTGGGTAAGAACCTCACTTCTTCAGATGCAAGTAATGGAAATTTCCAGAGGCAGGTATAAATCAGTATGAAGATAACGAGGTTAGTTCAGTCAGGGAGGGTGAGGTCCTCTGCTAGCAGTTGAGGTGTGAACACCAAGGGAGGAGAAACTGCTTCTGTAGTTGGATAGCCATTCACAGTCTTTGTTTAATCCTGATCTGATGGTGTCAAATTTGCAAATGAACCGGAGCTCAGCAGTTTCTCTTTGGAGTCTGGTCCTGAAGTTTTTTTGCTGTAAGGTGGCTACCTTTACATCTGCTATTGTGTGGCCAGGGAGGTTGAAGTATTCTCCTATAGGTTTTTGTATATTGCCATTCCTGATATCTGACTTGTCCATTTATCTTCTTGTGTAGTGACTGTCCAGTTTGGCCAATGTACATAGCAGAGGGGCATTGCTGGCATATGATGGCATATATAACATTGGTGGACGTGCAGATGAATGAGCTGGTGACGATGTAGCTGATCTGGTTAGGTCCTGTGATGGTGTTGCTGGTGTAGATATGTGGGCAGAGTTGGCATCGAGGTTTGTTGCATGGGTTGGTTCCTGAGTTAGTCGTTATGGTGCGGTGCGTGGTTGCTGGTGAGAATATGCTTAAGGTTGGCGAGTTGTCTGTGGGCGAGGACTGGCCTGCCTCCCAAGGTCTGGGAAAGTGAGGGATCGTTGTCCAGGATGGGTTGTTGATCACTGATGATGCGTTGGAGAGATTTAAGCTGGGGACTGTAGGTGATGGCCAGTGGAGTTCTGTTGGTTTCTTTTTTGGGCCTGTCTTGTAGCAGGAGGCTTCTGGGTACACGTCTGGCTCTGTTGATTTGTTTCTTTATTTCCTTGTGTGGGTATCGTAGTTTTGAGAATGCTTGGTGAAGATCTTGTAGGTGTTGGTCTCTGTCTGAGGGGTTGGAGCAGATGCGATTGTACCTCAGTGCTTGGCTGTAGACGATGGATCGTGTGGTGTGTCCGGGGTGGAAGCTGGAGGCATGAAGGTAGGCGTAGCGGTTGGTGGGTTTTCTGTATAGGGTAGGATGAATGTGGCCATCGCTTATTTGTACGGTGGTGTCCAGGAAGTGGCCCTCCCGTGTAGATTTTCCTCAGCTCCCGTCCACTCATGCCCCTTCTCTACCTACGCTATATTGATGACATCTTCATCATCTGGACACATGGGAAGGAGGCCCTGGAAGAATTCCAGCATGCTTTCACAAGCTTTCACACAAACATAAACA